TACTGAGCGTCTTAGGTCAGACGATACGATTATCAAATCGATCATCGACTTCTGTGCACATGCTTCCCGGCACCAGGTGTACTGATGCACTTTTCCATGTTCGAAGAAGGTGTTCGTAATGGACAAAACCGCAGCAACTTCATGCCGTTATTTCTGAGGTCGCTAGGGCCATTTTTTCCAATCACGCTGTTCCTCTTTTCAGCCTCTACTCCGACGTGCGCATTAAAGTCACCCATCAATATGAGAGAATCTGTATTCGGCACGTTGTCAAGGAAAGTATTATATTCTCCCTCCAGATTTGGCGCATAGACTTGTAACAAGGTCATCTCTTTTGCCTATTGAAAAATTGCCGCCTTCCGCTGACAGGCTTCCATTCAAAGATTCTGTCAGCCGCATTGGTATCTGCCAGAACACCAACGTCTGCTTGAGAGCGCGTCGTGTTTTCGAAACCTGAGTACAAGAGCTTCCACTGCAGAGGTTCAGGCTTCTAGAGCGCTGGCGTTTCGTTGACGAGTGCTCAATTATTTTGAGTTAGCATTTTGCGGCCTCATCGAATCACTCCTGTTTTTATCCTATGAGTGATGATATGTTTCAATTACTGAGGATGAGTTCCCATTGCGCGGTATAGTCCACATGGGCCTTCTGTTACAGTGTTCACCATTATTAGTGATGATCAGTGCAGGTCATGAGATAATTCCCTGAAATCCATCAGCCATTGATTACTGGTATGGAACAAATGTGCATTAAGCTCTGTCCCCAACCCCACTATCTTGCCCTTTTCAAAGTCCACTGAGATCATGGCCCTTGACGGCTGTCATATAATCTTTTGATTCCTCTTTCGCTCCAAATAGTCTAGCGCTGCTGTAATTTGACGGTATGTAATTTTCTGAGGTTCTGAGTCAATTCGATGACTAAGCGCAGCTAAAGATTGATTGCTATCATGATTTCTTTCGACTCACATACCTTTAGCCCGGCATTTACGATGTGCTCCGTTTTTCCTCAAGTTTCCGTTCGATCGAATGCATTTCGTCCAGCATCATTTGTGTAATCTTGCTTCGAGAGTGGATTGTGTTTTCTCGTTTAGTTGATTGATGGATTTAATTACTTTCTATTATTGTTTTTTTAATTAGCAATTCTCAGTGGGACGCTTTTCCGTTTCCGTCTCTTCGTCCTACGATTTTAGCCAACGTTCATTGGCTTCAATTCACTTCACCTTAACAATTAGGATCTGCTAATGGGCATGGCCGCTTTTCACGATTTATAGTCGTCTCTGTTGTCGTGGAAGGTGGGGAAACCATCAACGTACAGGATTGAATACGGTAGCGTTGTACTCCGAAGCCTCTAGGGTATTCGCGGGATCGGTTGTGAGGTATGACTTGATTATACAACAGAGCCCATGATACCTTTATAACGGATCTGTCTAAGCGAAGAACAATCAAGCTGTTAACCGGGATGGAAAGACTAGCTCCTACTGTCAGTGGGAACGTTTGAAGATTTGGTCTGCTTGCTGAACAGCCAGGATTGACATATGGGCGAAGATATAGCGGAACGGTTCTTTTTACACCCCATCAAGCAATAGATAAAAAATCTTGTCTGATTGGGCTGTCGCAACGGTCGGTGAGAGTATGAATTTCACAAAACAAAAACTTTTGTCCACCGAAAACGGGCATCACGCATGAATGACACTTCAACAAGTCGCCACTCTTCAAAGTCCAGATGTGAGGGCTTATCGCACCGCCTCGCCTCGGGCCCCGTTGGCGAACGGGACGCTTCAGCAGCCCGCGAGTCCATGGCGGCATTCCACGAATTCCGCAACTTAGATTTGAGCAGCTGTGACTGCAGTTCATCGATCTCATTGACAGTAGATCGACAGTTCATCGACAGTACCGTTGGAAATGACATAAGTTGCCTGCAGCGACGACGAACTGCTGGCTGGCATGCAGCTCTGTGTCTTCTCCTGTCTGTCCTGACATCACTCAACAGCCCAACTCGTGGAACACACTTCTGCAGAGTGTCCAGTTTCGATGTCCCTGCACCCCTGTAGAGTGACCATTCACCGAGTCCGGATTTCTTCACCGTTGAGGTACGGCATGATCGTGGGAACAATGGCGAGTTCAATTGGACAGGATGCTAAACGTACACTGCAGGACACTGCGTATCACCGGGCAGCCCTGGAAATAACGTCCTGACAGTTGAGTGTATGCTGAGAGAGCGGAGAAGCGAACCAATGCAACGCAGGCGACAACCCAACCCAACCAATAATTATTTTGAAAAGCATCAAATTTATGTTTTAATGCAGTCCATTAGTAACACACTCAAAGTACCTCGTAAATATGTTCCGCACTGCACTATGCAAGGCGAAAATATTTGGCACAACCACGCTTCAGTTGGGAGGAAATCGAGTTTGCAATTGGAGCATTGGCAATCGATCAAACTGTTGAGATCACTTGATGGATTTTATAGTACATCGTTACTAAGAATCGAAGTTCCGCTGGCGCGTCTGACTAAATACTCTGTTTCGCCTTTCACGTCCGCGGAACAGCATATTGCTCAACTGATCGGTTGCCGTACTGTAATCCGCACGAGGTGTGGACAATGTGCACAGTGGCAAAGGGATATTGCGTATTAAACCTGAGGAACTTGAGGGAAATGAAAAGTGACGAAGTAGTACCGAAGGTCCAGGTCAGCAACGAATTGGCAGATAATATTAAAAATCCAGGTTACGTTGACAAAACCATGTATATCCTCATGAAATTTGTTATGTGGGCAGTTTTGACGACGAATGGTCCGTTAACTAGCGTTTTGACTCGCTTTGTGCTGTTAAACTCCCCTTTACGTCGGTTGGCACCAAATCAACATTATACTCTGAACACACGGATATACTAACTTAGCAGCTGTGTTTGAAATTGAGGTTGTCTAATGCAAACACTGTAATTTCTTGTAAAGATATGTTCATGGGGCCAATACGAACAGACCTCAAAAATGCACATCACCACCCCGTTAGCAGAACTGCCTTGCCTCTGCTCGTTTCAGCCATCTGAAAATAATGGATAATTTAAATGTCTGATGTGAACAGATTCAGCCAT